CTGCACCATAGACTGTATAAAAAAAAGGCCTGCATGCGCCAAGTCCATGCATGATTTTAACAGCCCCTCCATCAAATGTTCAACACTGTTGAAAGTTTATCACCACAAGCTTGGCTTTCCGTTTGTTTCATCTTCTGGTATCATTTAAGACTTCTTTGTCCATTTTTATTTGCTATTCACATCACTTGCCACTGTTCAATCACTACGTTCCATCACATCAATTAAAGCCTTTTGTGGTGCAGCAGCGATCAGCTGATTTTACTCAGGGAGCCTCTGGTTGCTTCAGGTGTAGTTGGTTTGATTGGCAGGATACGCAGCCTCTCTTTTCCTCTGTTTGTGTCTTTAGTGTAGTTAAGTGACTAATTTAAACAGACTACTTGCTTGTTTTATAGCCTACTGTCATTTTTGGAGGAGGTTTGCGACTCACCAATAAAGGAAAAAGTACTCGCGGCGATCTTTCAATTCAGTTTATTGATCAAAAGTTAACAAAAGTATTTTTTCCGTTGTTTACTTTACAACAACTTATTTGGTTACTAAACTATTTTACTCCTCTCTCACTAAAATATTAAAAAACTCCCAAGCTGTAGTCTTTCTCCATATAATACTACCCGTGAGGATGACCTAATTAGGAGGGATCTGACACAATTTCCCAATCCTTTTTATGTATCAGTTATTTGAAACAAGAAAAAAATAATATAGATAACTTTGTTTGTCCATGACAACAACAATTCTACTACTACTGCTACTACCACCAATCCACTACTATGGCTTCAACAGGTGGCATTTTACACAAGGTATCGAATGAAGTACTAAATTGTTATCGGTATCACTTTAAGGGTACTGGTATTGTAAAATTTTAAATGATATCCAATCCTACTTGTGCAACATCAACACACTGGCATATAAACTAACCTGCACTTGAAGCTGCTGTTCAGACTCTTGTTGAACAGACAGATGAGGTGAAATGTCTGCCGAGGTCACCTGTACCTGCCATCAAACAGGTACATACATGAAGTACAGCAGATTGTACCATGCTGAGAAATATCAATAATACACCAGCAGCATAACATAAAAAGGGACCTGCTCTTACCGGGCAAGCCAGCTCTAAGAGAGAGCCAGCCACCTCAGTGCTGTCTGTGTAGATACAGTTGGCACCCTGCTGCTGGTACACCATGGCTGTGGTTGTGGCCGCCCCTCCCTGCTGGCTGAACTCCTGCAGCACCTCTGGGCCCTTGGCGAGGGACTCCAGGAACTCCTTCATCCTGTGCTGAGGCACAGTGCGGGCCTTCTGCCGCACATACTCATCAAAGGAGACCACCCCACTCTCCTGCTCATTCATCGTCAATTGACCTGGAAAGATGGAGACATATTTTCAAACATTAGAGAATCAAATCAAGTCCAGAACTGCTCGGATTGACAATGGCGTATACTGAAAACATATCGATGATAAAGACTACACTGATACAGAGGGGGCTGTGGTTTACTCTTGCACGACATAATGTGCTAAATAATGACATACAAACTCCTGCTAATTAAACAGGGGGACGGTGGAATAACATAGTAAGCACACGGGATAAAGTGCATTTGGGCTTGTTAACGTTAATACAATGAGCTACGCTTCAATCAACTTTTTCTAGAAACTTAGACATTTACGTTACAGTCACGGATATAGCTCACAGCAAGTCTAAATGGTTATATACTGTGAAAGACAGAGTTGGTTAAATGTTTATAGAGCCACCAACAAGGCGTCTGCCTGACTTTATATGATGTCTAATAATAGTGCCTACGTTATAGCTAGTGGTTAGCATGCTAGCTTCACAATGTTAGCAAGGCACTGTGTGGCAACAGCCGATACGGACAGTTGGCTGGCTAGCAACCGCTAACTGTATTCAACACCTTCCAACACAAATGTGATGTTACATCTACTGTAAATCATGAAATTAAGCAACATATTTCGTTCGTAAGATAAAACATTAAAGCAACAGTCCACCCGTATGCAATAACATGACGCTAGCTAACCATTGTGCTAATGTTAGCTTGCTAGCTCGATGATTCTGGATCCTGTCATGCTACCTTAAATAAAACGAAATCCTCTCCTTTCCGCCAAGGCACGGTGTTTAAAACTAAAAAGCCGATAAACGTCTAACAGCTACCACCAGCATGTCTTTCACTCCGCTACATAGTGCGCGTATCCGTAGTGTAATCTCTCAAACAACGCTGCGGTTAGATTGCGATAAAATGTTAACAGCTACAGCAGCGAGGTCTGACGTCTGCTTATTCAGGGCGAGCTCCGGGCAGGCTTCGGTGTAAAACAAGTCCCCCAGCTCCAGCAAAGCACTGGTTTATTTTCCCAGCTGAATCCCGAGTGGTGTATTACTAGAGTTTACACCACACAGATACACATGCGAAAAAAACCCTCCACCGTGTTTTATCCCGTGATATCTAAAATGACGGAAGTATAGGCCCCGAAAACAACGCTACTCCTCTCCAGACTGCTCTGTCAGGCAACGGCCTGCTGCGGTGTCCTATTAACAAGAGTTCCCATCCACAGACAAACACCAGCAGTGTTTTGTGGCTCTCTACAATAAAAATGAATGAAAATGAATAGTGAAATTACATATATAAGTTATATTATAAGTTATTATATAATGCATGCAGGCACGGGCGAATAGATAAATGTACAATATGTCACAAGTTGTCTGTTCAAATGGGCTGAAGCAGCATTACCAAAATCCATCAGATGAATAGGGGAGTTATTTGTTGACCTGCAATATTATCTTTACACACAGTATTATTTTGACCTTATATTTGCTTTATCATCTGGCACTGAGAAGGGAATTAGCCTAACGAATGTTAGTAAAATGTATGTAAAGTAAAACTATCAACATATATGGAGTCAGGTAGTTTAATGAATGAAAAGTATTCATATTAGGCTATTCTCCAGAATAATTTACACTTAAAATATTATTGTCTATTCTGAATTTAGTTGTTTATTGGCCTCAAAATGGTCTGTATAGGCCACAATAACGTGGATGTGGTTGAACGCTCTAAAAATCTAGTAAATGGACCATATGTTGTCAGACTACTTCCTCTAAGAGACCATATTGCTACACTTTTGACCCTGTAGCACAGGACTCTGGATACCAAGCTCCAGGCTGAATCATTTAAAATGGACACATATACATATATAACTTGAAGCAGTGTTAAAATGCTTTGGTAAACATTTGAATGCATGTACCTTTAATAAAATCTAACTTCCCCAGTCTGCCTTAAAGAGCCAGGCATGTGCTGCTGAGGGCCTCCCCCTGTTCTCTCCACAACAAACTGCCTCTCGCCCGTGTTAAGGTGGACCGACACAGATGTACTGTGTGTATAGGCTGTGCCCTCTTCACACTGGATAGGAAAGTGTTAATTCCCACACTCACTGTAGACTATCTGGGACTCTGCAATGGCTCTCTGGTGGAAATGGTGGTGGTAGATGTATCTTAATATATTTAATTGAATAAAATTGTTTACACACCACAGATAGAGAGGACATCATAAGATTCATCTAAGTGTCAATAATGCCTAACAATCTCTTTCATCATACGGTACGCATAGCATCCACTGTCCACATGTCATTTTTGGAATGCTTGTCAAACTCATAAACTAGTAAGTTGGCATGAGACAACATTAAAGTGTGCGTGTCTAGTTGGCTTCCCATTATCACTTCATGTGACTTCGTGCTTAATGTAATCCTTTAGAGAGGGGATTTACGTTAACACAACAAGGCCTGTTGGCTTTACTTAATAGTTATTTACAATTAAAAAAAATCTTTACAAAATCCACACATGCAAATACAATAACATGGAATAACATCAAGCATTTTTGCAAAATTGGCCCAATTTTTTTTTTGCAGGTGACATCAGGACAGGAGACTGCCAAGTAACCAGCCGGTGCAGTAATAGGAGTAAGACGTCACCTTGAAGGCTAGAAAGCTGTGAGCTTGCTGGTAAATCCAATGTGTTCAACTGTGATGCTCTTAATGTACCCACATCTGAAATCAGACGACACACATGCTTGTACTGCAGCAGAGACGAAATACCGGGAACAGAGCACAAGGAATCACAAGGAACCACAGGTACATCAGGCTTTATTGAGCATTTAAAAGTTTGGTCTAGTTTATAGAGATTATCTTTGCAAGGGGATATTAGCTTTTGGTGATGTTGTGAAATAACTATTAATTATAGTTGGAAAGTCAACCGCATGTTTTAGAGGCATATACAAATAGTCTTGCATTAAAAGCTTTGAAATGCTTTTGTATTTGACGGAGTGCACTTTTTATCCAATTGTAAAATTCAGCAGTAAGTTAGGACACATTGTTTTTCTTAAACTTGCGGTTTATGTTTCCAACAGAGTTAAAATAAATACAAACCGAAATAATGTTAATTATCTAAGCTCATGAGCTTAGATAATAAATTAACATTATTTTCCAAATGCAGCCTCAGAGGAAATCAGGTCATCTGTCAGAATTGTTTGTCATGCTGAAAATACTATTATTATGCGATGCATTCTTTTCACATTATGTGTATTTTCCATATCATTTGAAGAGGCAGCTTGACATTTGTGACCCAAAGGTCACACACAGATCAGACTGGCTCTTGCCGTGAATGTTTTTGCTAAGCTGTGTTGTATTTTTGCTGAGACAAACCAGCCACAGATGCTGTGGAGTGTGCAAACTCATTGGATTACACAGGGGAATTATTGTCCTTCAAAGGATTGAAGCACAAGATTAATTGGGAACCTGTGTGACTCTCTACCTGTAACTAACCTCTAAAGGCTTTCAACTATCACCGTTTTCATTCACAATTATATGAAATAATGTACTGAAAAAAGACACAATTATTAGTTATATTAATGCCAAACTATAATCTCTGCAGCCAATGTCAATCTGGTTTGCAGAGCTCAAAATATTTTATTTTCAGTAATATGTGGAAACTTGTTTTACGTGTTCTTCCATTTGTTCTACAGGTCTTGGGATTTTGATGTGAGTGTCAAAAAATGGGGCGTTCATCTTTGCTTGTCATTGTCCTAAGCTTGTCTGTTAAACTCGGAAGCCTTATTCAAACTTCACATTCACTGGGCAACTCTGATTCAGTCCGAATAACTCGGAGCACACACAGACACAGTGATGACCCGTACAGCTTGGCCAGCGGAGTGATTGTCCATTCAGAGAGCCACAGTGAGTCTGTGGAGGGCAGTGGACATAATGTTGACAGCACAGCGTCACAGAAACTCATCAATCAGACTGTAATGTCGAAGAAGCCCGACCGAGCTGGAAATGAAAACCGTTCTGGGTCTGGAATCACATTAACTACAACACCGGCACCTACTCTACACCACTCCGGGGCTCATGACCAAGGAGCTGACGAAGCCAATACAGGATACACTCACTCTGGTGTCTCAGAGGAAGCTCTCTTGGAGGGCAGCCACATAACAACTAAGGAACAGTTAAAAGAGAGTCATGCGTCCACAGTAAATGATGGTTTTCTGGATGGTAAGTGAACATGTAATTGAAGTCAAAACTTCCTAATACATTTTGTTTAAGTGGATATGAAGATATATTGAGTCATCAAAATCTAATGTAATATGAACATACTATAAATTCACTCAAAATTCCCCACTGAATTCTCTGTCTCTCGTCTTCAGGTATGGACAGCCCCAAACTCCCCATCCAAAACAATGCATTTACTTCAATGACAAACCTGTCGGGCCCTGGAGGTCCCTGTTTGCTTAATATTAGTCCTTGTGTTGTTCTTCCAAACTTTAACGGCACCAATCTGCTCTGGGATGACATGAAGCGCACACTGGCATTTGCCTGGGAACTACATGTCTTTGGATCTGCCAGCCTTTTCATCTTGATAGCAGTCCTGGCAGTGGTGGGAATGGCTGGTGCGTGCACCCTTCCTCATCCCCTCTGTGACGCCCTGATCCTGGCAAATAGTCTCCTGATCCTCAGTGGTACTCTGCGCGGTGTCCTCCTTCTGCTTGATCCTTATGGCACCCGTCAGGTCCTGTCTCGTGCTACTCTGGCAGCGCTCCATAACGTTCCTCTGCAGCTCCTGCTGTGGGCACAGGTTGATCTCGCTCTGATCACACTCAGAGGGTGGAAATTATTACTTTTCCCTCTAAAGCTGCAGCACCCATGGGTGGTTGGAGGGTTGGCTGTATCACATTGCACTCCATTACTTGTAGCAGACCTTTTCTCTCAAACTTTGTGCCCCACTCTCCCCCTGTTGCTACAGACTCTCACCCTCTGCTGGGGCCTCCCATTGTGCATGGGAATCCTCACTAAGTCTTTTTCTAATCTACATCCCTTTGTCAGGTCTTCTGTATCTCAGTGGGTTCCTTCACAGAGGATTGAGAGGCGTGCAAATCGAGTAACAGCAGTGTGCGCCTTCCTTGGGTTTCTCTGCTGCAGCCTTCAGATGTATAGTCTCCTCTGGCTTTATGGGCTACTGGGGAACTGGAGGCGCTTCGGCTGGGGCTGGTGGCTCAGTCAGTTTTGGGCCAGAATCCTTGAGTTTGTTTGGGGATTCTTTTTGCTTGTCCTGGGATCCTGGATCTTCTGGACGCCATCTAGGGGTCATCTAAGGGGCGATCATGGGCAGGGCAGAAATGAGGTGGTTAAAGGGGTGGAGGAGATGAGCTTGTGGAGTAACATCTTGGCCAGCATACATAAAGGGAGAAGAAAATCTGAGAAAACATGGGAAGACCTGATGCCAAAGAACTGGGCAATGCATAACCTGTCTAGAACAGGTTTCAGCAACAACTTAATGAGTCCGTATGATGATCAGCCATCTACTATTACACCAGAATACAAGTTGGATCCTGTTAGCAAAAGCAGCTCTGACCCTCAAGCTGCACTGCTGTGGCAAAAAGTTGGCGAACGTGAATGTGTTCTCTCACTTATAGAATTTGACATGCAGCCCCCATCTCCTATTAACCTCAGGCGCAGCATTGACAGTGCCCTTCATCATGGAAAGCTTGTAGCAGGAGGCCTGTTCACACCTCCACCTCCCTCTTGGAGTCTCTCTTTGGGCACAGGCACCACTGATGGGGATGATGGTACAACAAAAATCCCTTCAGCTTATGTTGGCTACGGGTGGATGCTGGACACAGAGTCTATTTCTGCATCTCTGGACCATTTCCAAGCTAAAGAGCCGATAGAGTCACCCAGCGCTACCACTGATTATAATGGTAGTGTTGGGACGCCAGGTAATGCACATCAGGGAGCGTTCTCAGAAGTGATTCATCAGCATGGCTGGTCTGATGACGATGTCACGGATCTCTAAGCTGTCAGCTAACATACTTTTAGTCATCCAGCCTTTATGAAATGGCACAATCATGTTATGTGGACAGTAATGCCCTCGCAAGACAAGGCCTCATCTGAGTAAATATTGATAATTAAGTAATGAATGACAAATATTCAGCACCTATAGTGTTGCATATAAATCCTCATAAGTCATTTTATAAGACCTGGATATTGTGGAAAAGATGAGGGTGAGGCCTATTAGAAATGTTTTATCTGTTCATTGCGATTTGACTTCCATTGGGTCTTCTGAAATATTTTAATGTCTATGTGTTCTAGCACAACTTTATCTGCAAATAAATTGCATGGAGGGTTTTCCCACTGGATATTATGAGCATTTCAAGAGTTTAGAGTTTTATAATATTTGTCTTCATAATCAGTTTTCTATCATCTGAGTCAACATCTCTCTCCTGTTTGATTTGTGTTGTAACTTCGCTGGTTAAAAGTCATGTGCGCATTTGTTTGATAATGCACTACTGACCTCTACAAAAAATTAATATTTTATGTTTTCCTTGTGTTGTTTGTAAATAAAGGGTAATAATATGAGTCATGTAACCTTTGAGCCATGTGCATTTAACCCTTGGAATTACAGCTGGACGAATTTTATTATATTTTCATGTGTCCCAAAGTTTCCAAAGTACAAATGCACTTATATTGTTCTAATGATGTTTGATTTGAAATCTTAACTGCCCTTTTAGTTAAAATAGTTATAGCTAGTATCAATAAACTTCTGAACAAGTCCATCTATTTGAAACAGGTTCAAACAGACATCAAGCCTCAGTCAGAAAAAGAAAGCTGACTCTTTTTATGAGGAATCTATCTGAGAAACAACTATTAGCTTGTTTCATTTTGTTATATCGTTTAGTCTGTTTTATTTTCTCTAATTTAATATGCACTTACTCTGTGTGTGTAGTTTCATTGAGATTTTCTTCAGTTTCCTTCATCATCACCTGTCTTTCCCACAAACAGGTGCTCTCACCAAACTGACCCGTGATTGGTTCATCAATTAAGGAGCATTGAACACTCTGTGTATAATGACTCGACACACTGACTCTGTGATTCTTTGGAGAAATCACATGTTGTAGGCTATTTGGTAGTGCCTCTAAAGGTCTTAAGACTTGACAGCAGGCAGTCTTTGCCTCAGAAGAATGGTGTCTGATTGTGATGGAAAATAGCAATTTGCTGCCCTAACTTGACATGGTTCACTTTCCTTCAAATCTAATCAACACAGAGACCAAAAACGACTCCCAGTAAATTTCAGATCCTCTCGGATCTCCTATAGCTGAATATAATCATCGTTGATCGTTTAGTGATACGGAGACTTGTAATCTATTGCTGCTATCTATTTCTATATCTTTGTTTAAATTACATTGAAAATACCCCATGGGGAGTTGAATCAAACAAGAATCGAAATACCTTCATCATCATCATCATCATCATCAACATCATCATCATCATCATCAACATCATCATATAGGCTACACTGTTCCAAATTTGCACAATAAATAATATAGTTTCCTGCCCAGAGGTAAGGCATTTTAATTAAATACAGAAGATTAGATTATCTCCCCTTATTTCAAGCTGTGTTACATGATTTAATTGAATTTATTTAATTTTACATTACATCCATACATGCATAGTGTATTTTGGCTAAAGTAGGCCTAATACATTTTTGTAGGCTATGTTTTTGTGATTGTTGATGCTATCTGGGATGTTATGTTTTTATATATTAAATATTAGGCCTATTGAAACTTGAATCCCAATTGTGGCCTACACTGAAAAAAGTGAAACTACTGTGTCGTTTATTTAAAGTGCATTTTTATATATTGGGCTAACTGAAAATCACGGAAACACTTTTACTTAAATAGTATTTTTATTTCAAATCAGAGGTTTTTGTGTCATGTAATCACATGACGTCACATCAGCTTGCTCCTTGTTCATTTCCTCGCTTAAAATGTCAACAACTATGAACGACTGTCTGTGGCCCAGGAAATCTTTTTTTTAGACAAGCATTTGAAATTGTGTCATTTTAATGGTAGTAAGTGTTTTTCATTCACATTTCGGGTTAGTGGCAGGATGGACAGGCTACTTTACAGATGTTTCTGCAGATTTAGATTTGAAGGTGGTAGAAATGAACATTTCTGCAGTATAATACTATTTTATATTATTATAGCCTAGCTACTGTATAGCCTATTATATTAACCTCCGACCCACACCCGTGCCCTCTTTACTCGTCTCTCAGAAGTAGGCGGATAAAACCTGAATGCCAAATGTGGGCTACATTTTGTGGGCCACAGTTTGACCCATCATTGGTATTCTCAAATGTTTTTTACTTTTATTATGGCTTGAAAAGTCAAATTATTCACGGAAAGTTACCTAATCACCTGAGTTCCCAGTCAAAACAGTATATTTGTGCTTGTTATTTCACAATTTGATGCAAAACTGACGTGCATGGATCCATCATTGCAATGTAGTGACATCTTGATGTTTCACTTTCGCGTGGATAGTGGCGGGTTCCACATAAGACCGTTTGAGATTATGGCCAATACACAACTTGCTGTTTAAACTTTCTAACCTCAGACAGGTGAGGGTCCACTTATTCCTTGTCTCAAATGCCCTCAACATGTGGCTTTTCTGTGGAGAGATCACACTGCAATGTTACCCAGCAGGTTAGGTTAATTTCCTGTGTCATTATTCACAATTACTCATGGATGTCTTGCTGCATGACTAAAATCATGAAGGATTTTAACTTTATCTTTCTCAGTTCCCTGTAACTATGTAAATAAAATCAGTGTTTGATAAATTATCCTCCAGTCTTTAATTGTTCTAAACTTGTTTGTCTAAGAGTGTGCCCTTTTCTCAGTCCTCTATTTGCCACTGCAGGTTGGTGATTGCTACTACCACTGCGTTTATGGGGGGCACCGATGACGATGGCATGCCCTGCTGTGTTAGTACCACCCTCCGTTTCCTGCCTCCCATCTGGGATGGGGGCAAAGAATGATGGTATTTCAGCAGTAGAACTCAAAGTTAAGGGTCGGTGACTTCCCATATTGACATTTTCTCATCAAACTGTTGCAGTGTCTTGCAGGTGGATCTCTGTCTCATTGACCTGTGGCATTTCTGTTGACTGAGGCACCTTACAACAGGGGCTTGTGCATAGTGATCGAGGTATGGTGAGCCCTCTTGTGGTTATAAATTAAACCTGAAGTGTAGACATGCTTTTGATTTAGTGTTTGTTTCCTTACAGGATGAGAAGTATTTACTGTCTCCTCTGTTGGCTGATGTTGAGCTCTTAACATTCATCATTCACATGCTCTTCATTACCGGACATTAAATCCACCACAGTAACAACTACGCCTCCTAGTGGCAGTGGCCATGTTTTGCAGCAACCTCAGTACTCCCAGTTCCTATGTTTCCTCAATACCCAGTGATTCCTGGGCCCACTTCTCCAGCACACACCCCTATCATAGGTACAGTGGCACCATTGCCACACTGTTCACAGATTCCTTCAGGTGCTGCTACAGACTCTGAAGCCAAGAACCATTTCTATTCATGCCATCTCACTAGCTCTTGTTTCCTAGACCTGTAACACCAATTTAATCTACTTCTGCTCCTCTGGCCCAATTGCCTAGATGCCACAGTATCCATTTACCTTTTAACCACAATTCCCCATGGAACCTGGAATTTTCCATCCAACAGCCTCTCCTCCTCCTCCTCCTCCTCCTCCTCCTCCTCCTCCTCCTCCTCCTCCTCCCACTAGCACAGAAGTTTTGGTAACCACACCTGCCCCCACCACTAAGCATGATGGGAAGCCCCATGTTCCCCAGCAGCTACAATTCCCACTTCCCCCTCAATATTCTTTCCAGCCATTCCCAAAACTCCTGCTGACTCCAGAAGATCAAACTGAAGTTTTTCAGGATCCGAAACCTGCAAACCAGCATCCCAAACCAAAACATGTGTATCTTCAGACCAGATCCCCGTGTTGTAAGCTGCTCCTCAGTATACTTCTCAAAAGAAAATCAAACTGCTGCTCCTGCTACTGGCTCAACAACCAGTGCAGCTACCACCTGAAGCCTGCTGCTCAAAAGCCATTTTATTACCCACACCCTTATGTGCCAGTGTATTACGTTCCTCAGCAGGCTCCATGCCGGTTTTTCCTGATCCTCCTGCAAAACCAGCCCTATCTGATCAGCATGAAGGTCAGCCTATGTGCTGTGCTGTGTATCCATTCTATCCTTTCCCTTTTCATCAGAGGCTAAAAATCGGCTTCAGGAAAGTTCTGCTGACAGTCCCCAGGATCATCAGACTCTGCCTCATGCATTTTTATTTAACCTGACAGATTTGGCCAGAAAGCTGTATCAAACTCTGCAAGGATTTTCTCCTACTGAATAGAAAGTAACTAAAATGCCACAGAGCCAGGTTCTTGCATATAGCAAGAGAGATTCAAAATGTTTATTTTTCTCAAGAAAAATAAAGGACAAGGTTAGCTAAATAGTTACAGTCTGAATTTGTTTTCTTGATGTTTGAAGGATAACGGATAAATACATTCAGGGCAGTAGCTCGAAATGTAAAAACACTGAGACTTATTTTCATTGGTAATATATTATGGTAAAGTAAATTAATTATATATTATCTCCTACATATTATATCGCAGGATGAAGACTGTTTCTAGGGCTGCAACTAACACTTATTTTCATTATCGATTAATGTTACTCATTATCTTCTTGATTAATGGTTTCCCAGAGATTGCAATTTGAAGATCCAACATCTTCAAATTGCTATTGTATAACTTACAGTCCAAAACCTAATGATGTCAGCTTTCCACTCATGCAAGGCTAAGAAAACCAGCAAATACTCACATTCACTCACGCGAGGCTGGGAGCAGTAACAAAATTACTTTACTTTATTTTAATGATTAATTTAACATCAAAATGGTTGCCGATTTTGTTGGACAAAATGTTTAAAATATTGACTCTATAAATAGTTAGCCTACTACTTGAATATATATATATATAGGAGTAGCTACAACACATCTACAGTCATAACTGTGTGAAATGGACCTGCACCTGTTTAACTGGATCACCCGCATGGGACGGGGAGCTGTCTGGTACTCAGCTGTTCTGACGTCGAGCACGCTATTTGACGTCACCGTGGGAGTGTCCCACCATCGGGAGAAATGAATGGTCATCAACACAATCCTCTCAGCGCCCATGTAAGTTGAAGCCCGCAAAACACACATTTTTTGCGGACCGCTGTATGAATTAAATGTGTTTCCATGCGCTGTTATCGACTGTGCACGAGGGTTGGGGTTGATTAACGTAGTTCATCCTATTGCCGCTGCCGCCTGGCGAGGTGCCCTGCCTGCCTGGAGCTAACCGTGGCTGAAGCTGAAGCGATGTTTTTCTGCTACAGAGTCGCCAGCCTGCTAAACTGACAGGCTGCGAGTGGCCAGGCGGCGAGTGAGCGCCGGTTTTGACACCCAGGGTAGCCTG